CATAATCATTTATTAAGTTACAAATACTTTGTTTAGGCAACTCTGACTGATAATGGACTGCATCTTCTCCATCTTTTATATTATCTTCACAAAGGTTTTTATTTCTCATTTAATATGGCCTTAAGTCATCATTCACAGACTCTTCAGGCCAACCATTCTTACAGTACTCATATACTTTTATTAAGCACTCATCTTTTTGTGTTTCTCTTTTAATATCATTCACATTTATATTGGAGTTATCCATGATAGTGAAGAGAACAAATACATCTTCTGGTACATAGCTCAGGCTTTGGTTTTTTAAAGGTAATCTACTAAGGCTATCTGCACTATTCTCAGATCCAGGTTTGTATTTCAATTCATAATTGTATGCAGTTAGTGTGATAGCCCATCTTTGAATTCTTGGTGAGGCATGCTCAGGTAGGGTTTTGTTTTCTCCAAATAAACCTAGCAATGGTTTATGATCTGTAAAGATGGTGAACTTCCTACCAAACAGAAACTTATGAAATTTCTTAACACCAAAAATGATGCTTAAGCCTTCCCTATCTAACTGAGAATAATTTTTCTCAGTCTGGTTCAAAGATCTACTGGCAAAAGCAATGGTCTGTCACCCTTCTCATCCATGTGGGACAAGACTGCTCCTACACCATCTGGTGAAGCATCACATGTTAATATAAGTCTTTTCCCTGGGTCATAGTGAGTTAGTAAGGTGTCAGAAGACAAAGCCTCTTTTGCTGTATTAAAAGCAGTATCTTGTTGTTTACCCCAGTGCCAAGTTGCATTTTTCTGTAGCAGCTTGTACAGTGGTGATAGTTTACCAGACAGATTCCCTATGAACTTTGCATAGTAATTTATCAAGCCCAAAAAAAGCTCTTAGTTGTTGGGTATTTTCAGGTTTGGGTGCTTCTTTAATGGCTTTTGTTTTCTCAGGTTGAGGTCTGATGCCTTGTTTGCTCAATATATAACCAAGAAAACTAATTTCTGTCAGCATGAATTGACATTTATCTTTGTTTATCTTTAAACCTTTTTCACCAACAATTTTCAATACTTTATCAAGTGTTTTAAGATGTTCAGTGTCATTCTTACCAGTTATGTACACATTGTCAAAGTACACACAAACATTTGGAATATCCTTAAAAATACTGTCCATGACAGCTTGGAAAATTCCAGGGCTAGATGATATGCCAAAACATAGTCTTTCATATTGGTAGAGTCCTTTATGTGTGTTTATTGTCGTATAGACTTTTGAATCTGGATGCAGTTCTAGTTGAGTGTAAGCATGACTAAAGTCTAATTCAGTGAATTTGTCTCCTCCTGCCAAATTCAAAGAAATTTCCTCAATGTTAGGTATAGGGTACCTATTTAGCTCTATTTGCTTATTCAGTGTAGTTTTATAATCTCCACAAATTCTTATAGAACCATCCTTCTTTAACACTGGCACAATGGGCGTTGCCCAATCGGAATAGTCTACCTTCTTTATGATGCCATTAGATTCCAATCTACTTAGCTCATTTTCAATTTTATTCCTCATTGCATAAGGTGGAACTCTAGCTTTGCAGTATCTTGGATTTGTGTCTTTAATGCTTAACTTCACTGTTCTATCATTTAGTAATCCAGAATTGCCAAAAACACTTTTATTTTCAGATATTACTTTATCTATTGAAGTAAGACTAGATTCTCTTACATTCTTCAATGAACAAATACTCTCCCAATTTAACTTAAGATCACTTAACCAGTTCCTACCTAGTAATGGTGGTCCATTTCCTTCAACCACAAGAAGAGGAAGTTTAACACTTTGACCATTATAACTTACATGAACCATACACTCTCCTATTACCGGAACATTGTCACCAGTGTATGTTGTTAGACACTTGTGACATGGTTGTAGAGGCACTGATCCTCCTGTGACAGCGTCAAAATCTTTCTTTGTGATGACTGTTAGAGATGCTCCAGTGTCAAGTTGGAAGCTGATGCTCTTACTGTTGATATTAACTAGTACATTGATGGGAGCATGACCTATTGATTTCACAGAGAACAGGTTGAAATCCGGCTGCGAATCAGTTTGAGCATTTTCACAGGTAGAGTGGTTCATTGGTTGGGTTAGGTAGTCTTGGTGAGAGTTAACATAGTACTGCCTTTGGTTGCGGTACTGTCTTGACTGGCTAGATTTAGCAACAGACGAAGACTTTGTAAAGCAGGCCTTGGCAATGTGACCTTGCTTACCGCACTTATAACAAGTTGCTAACTTGAACTTGCACCGATGAGATGCATGGGGACCTTTGCATCGATGACATTTTTGATAATTATTACTAGATTTAGATCTAGGATTTGAACGAGCAGGCTGTTTAGCATAAGTTGGAATGCTCTGTTGGGGTTGATGTTTATTGACTAACCTGCTGTTTACTGCATGGATCTCTGAAGGTGCTAAAGATCTCGCCGCATCAGATGACTGCTGGAATGAAGTTGCGAGTTGTATTGCTTTTTCCAATGTTAGATCTGACTCGAGCAGCAACTTTCTTTGAATATCAGGGCTGTTTACACCTGTCACAAACTTTTCACATAGTCTGTCAGACAGCTTATCTCCAAATTCACAAAATCTACTTAAATGACGTAAAGCAGCAACATATTCTGATATTGACTCGTTTGGTTGACGAGTCCTACTGTCAAATCTAGCTCTACATAAAAACTTTGATGGGGTAGGCGCATGGTGGTCTGTTAGCAATTTGCTCAGCTCGTTAAAGCTCTTGGTAGTTAGACTAGCTGGTGCGCATAAGTCCTTTAGTAGCCTAAATTGTTGAGGCCCTATGACTGTTAACAAAACAGCTCTCTTTTTGGCTTCTATCGTCACGTTGTTTGCTTCAAGGTAAAAGCTTAACCTATCTAGGTAATCTTGAATGATTTCATCATTCGAATCAAATTCTTTTATTTGGCCATACAGCGCCATTATTCTAGAAATACTTAGCTAATAAGCTCTAGCAAACCTCTTTTTTGCGTAAGTAGGTGCTCTTTCTAGTGGATCATTTATCCTTCGTCGCCAATGAGGTAGATTGTAATCACTGACGAGGAGCCACATTGGTTGTTAACAGTCTTTATTTACAGCCATGAAGGAAAGAGGAAGAGGAAGTACGATATACAAGGGACATCACTCAAGATAACAATATAAATATAATACTAATACAGAAGAGTGAGTTCCCTTGACCTCACAATTATCTCAATCTATTACATGGACTAGAATTATTCGTCTAGTACTACCTAGTCTAACAAAGCGTGTGTTGACTTACTTAGTCCGGTAGATACCAATGTTTGTATACAACTCCCCATTATCTTGATGTTCGTCTTGTTACTGACCTACCCTACTCAATTTAATCAATTCATTGATAGTATGGTTTACCAATACTAGGCTTTTTTCTTATCTGATGTATTTTCTATGGATGGACATACAAGGTGAACGACGTTCTAAACATATTTAATATACTTCTTTTGAACCTAGATCTAATATTTCTAATATACTGAAACAGGAGGTAATTTAATAGTTACTTAACACATGTAATAAATATTCAAAATGGGTTGAGAATTATAACATTTTCTGGCAAACCCAAATTCAGAAGCACTTTTTCATTCGATTCAAACATCCAAATATCCACGATCTATCCTCTACATATTACCTCTTAGAAAATATATATTTAAAAAATATAAAATACACAATATCCGAGCGATTGAGTTGCGGTGTTTTCCCCCAAGAATTTCTCTTCGTGGGGGGGGGGGGGAGCATTTTAAATTTTTGAACGGGAAAAGATGGGTGGAACAGTAGATAGTTTGCTCTCCTGTTGAATACATTAGGGTTTCTTCCAGGCATCTCTATCCCCCCCCCCCCCCCAAAAGAAAGTCTACCGCCCCCCGAACGAGATGGATCTTACATAGTAAACATACACTTTTACTAGTGTCCGCCCCCCCCCCCCCCCGTAAAATGTTGACCGCTCCCCCCGCCCCCGGAAAATATCAAGTGCCCCCCCCCCCCCCCCTTCCGGAGAAAAGTCTGGAAGAAACACTGATTAGGGCTCGTCCACGAAATGCGTCACGCTTTCTTTTCTACTACTAGAGTTTCTTTCAAGCAGCTCTGGGGGAGGGGGGGTGGGCACTGCAGCACGTTCAACCCCCCCCCCCCGGATGAAATAGAGAAAAATATATATAATTTATAAAGAAATTATAGGCTTAATTAAACCAGGGTCCGCCCCCTCCCAGAAATTTTAATGCCCCGCCCCTGGAGAAAAAGTGTCTAAAGAAACTCTAAATACACCCCCTCCCCCCCCCCCTCCCTCAGATACACATTCCTCTGGTTACAAAAAGCCAGAATTTCCCTAAAATGACATCACACCCCAGCCTATAGTTACCCTCCCATCTCTCTTACATACATTTTTTTAAAAGCATCGATTGCTCTCTAAAATAATTACCGAACTCTGTCAAGAACGAGTATATTTGAATTTCTCTTAAAATTTACAAAAAAAAAAACAAACAAAAAACAAAAAACAAAAAAAAACATTCTTTTATAACGCGAAATAATGAAATAACAATTTAACAACTAAAAACCTGTTTCTAATATTGCTTTTTAATCGCAAAAGTGTGTCATCACCCCTTATGAATTATTTTAATTACAGTTAGATTTAGATCTAGATCTAGTATGGTGTTGAAACAGTTAAAGTCAGAGTTACAAAAAGAGCAAAATAGTTCCTTTGTTTATTTTCTTTGTATTGAACGGCAAAAGGAAATGTAGCCTAACCACTTAAAACTTGGTAGTTAATTTGGTGGTTGTCTACCTTGCACGGAAGGCTACTGCTCGTGCTAGCCTAGGCACTACTGTACCAAAACTAGACTTCTATGTGTTGTGTTCTACCACTCTTCAGCTTTTGAGTTAGGTAAGTTTTTGACCCGGTTCTGTTTCATCGAATTGTGTTTTGTAGCAGAAGGCACGTTTATTGTTGGTAGTTTACTAGTTTGGTGTTTGTTATTACTTCACGGAATATTGTCATTGTTAGGTTATCTGTCCGGTCCATGGAGATAATATCAAGTTTTAAGCCACGATCGTTCTATTCACAGATCCCATCTTGTTTTCAAAAAGCATTCGTGTTGTTTGGTGGGTCACTGACTTTTACTTTTAATAAAAATTTAACTTTTACTTTTACTGTCTTTTACTTTTAGTAGTTTTAGTTTTAGATTTTAGATCTAGAATCTAGTAGTAGATCTAGATCTAGATCGGTCTATCTAGAATCTAGATTCTAGATCTAGTCTAAATAATCTAGATCAAGATCTAGATCTACTATTCTAGAATTTCTAGATCTAGGCCTAGGCCCATTTAAAATTTAATTTTTAAAATACAGATCTAGATCTACTCTAAGCCACTCTAAGGTCTAAGACTCGTCTTACTTTACTTAGGCAGAGTTTCTTACAGGAATCTCTTCGCCCCCCCCCCCCCGAACTAAATGAAATTTATATAATTTATATAGAAAATATATAGAGTCTATACTTTTAACTTTTAACAGTGTCCGCCCCCCGAAGAAAGTCTACCAACCCCCCGAACATTTCAAGTGCCCACCCCCCCCCCCCCCCCCCCCGGAGAAAAAAGTCTGGAATAAACACTGGTCTTGGGGTCTTAGGTCTTAGACTCTTAGTCGTCTTAGTCCTCAAGTCACAATCTATTCTAATTAGTTAGTAATTAAATTAGATTAGAGAATGATTATAGATCTAGATCTAAAATCTAGTAGTTTAGAGATCTAGTCTAGTCTTAACTTACCACTTAAGTCTAGCTAACTGGTAGCTAGACTCTTAACTCTACTAAACTAAGTAAACTTAACTCTAGATCTAGATCTAAACTAAACTAACTCATCTAGATCTAGATCTAGATTCTCTGTTCAAGAGTCGGTCTAAATCTAAATAAATATTAAATAATAGAAAGATCAACACGAAAGTCTTTAATTAAAGCTAAATACTAAATACATTAATGCCTTGCTTATGTCAAGTCCTACTATACTACTATAGTCTTAATGGGGCTTAATTGTAATATCAGATCATAAAACTAAACCTGAAATTACAATTCTACTAACAATGCAATTAAACCTAATTTTGGAAGAGTCTTTTTTGTGGCATTGGTAATACCAATATTATGCTTTTTTACCAGAAAATAAAAAATAAAAAATCATATTACAAGGCTTCTGAGCTAATTTTTAGTTATAGGCCTATTTAAAGGTTAGATTTTTATAAACTTTTGCATCATGGATATTTCAGAAATATTTCCACTAGATTAAGGGTAGTTTTGCTTTTAGGAATAATTTAGCATTGAAATACGCTTTATCAATGAATTAGATTATCATTAATTATGGGTTTTTTCCTTTTTGGTTAGTCTTGCATGTTTATTGCATTGTTTGGACAGTGTTTTTTTAATTGCATTGTGGAAATGCCTTTAATTGCTATGACATCAATACCCTATGATATTGCTAATCGATGAGTATCTGCTCTTCTCTTGAGGTTTGACTTATGTTTTATTGTGGTACGAGGTGAAAGTATCAAACATTTTAAACATATCTGTTTCTAAATTTATATAATATTAGAGTCAAAAATATTTTTAAGAAAACATTCATTATCCATTGGAAATGCATGGGCTCACCAATGTCAAGACATTCTGATAATAATTACTCGATTTAATTATGAACATCTTCAGAATAGTTGAGAAAATGTAATTTATATATAAGCCTATACATTTTTGGACCTAATGAATAAATAAATATATGGAGCAAATATTTTTCAATCATTATATTATTGCTTTTGCTAAAGAATAGTAGAAATAATAGAAGTAGACATCCTTCAGGGTGTGATGACACCCTTCCTCTTCCAGAAAGATGCCTGAAAGAAACTCTGTTCATTCTAGCTAAGAAAAATTTTATCACTTGGTTACTTCTCTGTTGATACTTAAAGGAAATAATTATGTGTCATGACTCTCATAATACCTCATTTCTTTAGTTTACATAGATTGTTGGTGTTGTAATCTCAGTGTGTTGTTGAGCCTGTAGGTATAAGACAGGTTTGTTGTTCAGAAATATAAATATATAATTTGTTGCTGTAAAGATATCTAAAAAGGAGAGCAGCAGTTGTCTAAATAATACATAGGTTATGTCTTTGATGATAAACTGCTGAGTTGTTACTTCACTACAAGTTGGGGTTAATTATATTTGCAGTTAAATCATTTCTGTGGTACTAGAACATTACCCTTTAAAATGTTTCACTAAATGAATTTAGAGAGGTTTATATTTCATACAGTGTTTTTCTTAAAAAATTCCATCTTCTACAATAGACCTGTCATCAAATTTACCACACATCCTCTCCCCCTTTGTCCAACTAATTAAAAAAAAATACACAATATCTACAGGGTTTCTTTAGACATTTTTCTCTTGGGGATGGGGGCACGTGAATTCGGTTGGGGAGGGGACGGACATCGACACTCACTGGTTAAATTGTATATATTTTCTATATAACATATGTTTTCATATTTTGCCCCCCCCCCCCCCCTCCAATCCCGTAGTGGTGCTTGAAAGAAGCAATAGATATCTGCTATGTCGCTATGAAATATTATAATCAATCTATGTTTAGCATGGCATTTGCGAGTTTAACTAGCACGATGAACCCAAGTGACCCCAGTCTCGTGCTGATAATAAAAAATCGGACTGCCGTAAGATTATTTATAAGCATCCCTCACGGGACCAGCCTGCCGCTGCCCTACATATTCGTTCGTCATGTGATGTAACAATCATCTCGTGACCTGAACGCCAGCAAACACTTCAAGGTGGACGCCCAGAATGCCGACATGTTAGAAAACCCGCTAGACCTCATTGTTGGAAAATTTAATAAATAAATAATTAACTTTTTCAAGACAACTGTATTTTGACATTACAGTCGAGTCATTATAAGCTTTACGGTTACTTAAGTACACCGGCTAACATTTCATTAGAATAGATCATCAAGAAAGTCACTCCGATAGTGTTAATTTTGTGTTAGTTGTTCTGGATGCTGGCACATTTTATGTAGGTAGTTACACACGATCCTTTTTGATTGACCTACTCTACTGACGTCTGTAACTGGATGGGGGGGGGGGGGGGGGCGCTATGTTTACAGCTTGTAGGCTTCAGTCAAATATAAAAGATCAAGTAAAAAAAATAAACATAAAATATATAGAAAATATATTCTTAACTAGTGTCGCAACCCCCCCCCCCCCCCAACCCCCAAAGAGAAAAATATCTCAAACCCTGCTGATAAGGTAACAGCTTACAAGTGCGTATCACCCCGATTTCCCCCCAGCAAGTTATGTTATAGCCACAGAATACTAGATGTATGTAACATTGAATAAATCGCCAATTATGATGATATATTCTACAGCTGTAACCGTTTGTTCTTGCAAACACAGAACGCGTTATCAAAGCAATGTGTTACACAGTGGAATGCACTTTCACCCCCTCTCCTAACCCTACATGCGTGGCAAATATTGTTGAGTCTGGCTGTCAGCAGGTGTTTTAGTCAGTCGATTATTTGCTGTGTCGCTAATGCCTACCTGTTTGTTCAGGACATTCAACTCGGCGTCTAACTCTGGCTTCTGTCATTAATCAATTAATTGCAAATTAGGTGAAAGTTGAATAGGCGAAGGGGAATTTCGCAAATTAAAATAACGCAAAATACAAAAATATTTCTGTAATATAATAGAGAAAAAAAACATTAATTAATTTTCTGCTTTTTTCTAATAATGCTTTTATGTTGGTCGTCGTCTCCCTTCCCCCCCCCCCCCCCCCCCAAACTTTTAATAAATATAGCATTTTACAATTTTATCATGTTAACCTTTAAAAATATAGTAATGGTATTGAATTATTTTTAAAAACTATGCCTTAAAATTGTTTCAAACCGACACTATCTTTAGACTGCCGCATTACTCGTTAGTTTACGTCCTGCGTTATTTCACTAACCTCCGTGGTAAGATCGAGTCGACCAGAGCTGCAGGAAAACCCCAGCACATTTATACAAGGATTTGACACTCGCCCATCTACAGACAGTTTTAAGTCAACCAGAGGTTCCTTGGGGAAACACTCTTCCATTTAGTTACTTCGGAAATCGAGTTATCGACCTCTGTTCCGTGGTACTGTTTTACCTCTTATGTTGTAATGAACGTTCGCTACATCATCCCATTGTTGTTTTGTGTCACGATGTTCGCACACGTGAGCATTGTTTATTTAGTGATTGCCTATAGATTCGACATCTTGATTAATCAGTTTTACTTAATAAATCTCTTTGTGCGTTATATTAGTGTACGCGAATAACGCTCGAAAGTTAGATAATGCCACGCGTAGTGTTTCTGCAGCCTCGGTACATTAGTATATTTGTCACTGCGACAGATGGAGTTAACGCCCTTCATTTATTTGATCACAGCCATAACAGAATCTGACAGCACTGTATCTCAGTGAAATTAAAAAAAAATTCTTATAAGTTAATTCGTAATTGTTTTTATATTTTTCTACCAGACACTCAACAAACAAAATAGAACAACTTTCTCCTCATCTTTCACTTGATTGAAAGTTTTTTTTTTCTCTAGCTATGGTGTACTGCAGCCGCTGGGATGGCATCCTCACGGACATTAATCCATAGAAAGGGCAGCCGTACGTCTCTTGTCTCCTCGCCCGCAGAGCTGCACTCCTTAACCCGGCAGGTGGTGAGTACCCCGTTCATCTCTAGCCCCGTGTCTTCTACATTCCCTACTCCCAGTTGGCCGCTCATGAATATGTTAAAATTTAGATGAAATATTTATCCATTGACCCCTAGTGTTTATCCCAAAATCTTTGCTCTGCGATTATATCAGTTGTTTCCCCTTCTTGCATGACCTCCCCTGTCTCATTCGTTTTCTCTCTGGCCCCGCCTCCTTCCTGAATCTCGTGACAGAAGTAATAATTTGCCAGGACGTATTTGTTTCACATAATTGACATCGCAGGGACATTAGAGAAAATTCAGTTTAATAATACTATAATGTGTTTTTAAACACATTATTTTCCCCAATAACTAGACGTAATATTATAGAGTGTAATGTTCATCGCTTAATTCATTTAAGTTGTAGACCTTCTCCCTTAATTTTTTACAAGCATAAATTATAGTTAATTAAATATAAAAAAATGTTTTTATAATTTGCAGTAGCGTAGCGAGTGGGGGGGGGGGGGGGGGGGGGGGGGGGGGGGGGGCGGGGGGGGGCATATGTCCCCGGGCGCCGACCTTAGGGGGGGGCGCCAAATTGAAAGTTTGAGGGGGGGGGGGGGTGTGCAAATGAAAAGTTCGACCGGGGGGGGGGGTGCAAATCGAAAGTTTGAGAGGGGGGGGGTGCAAATGAAAAGTTCGAGGGGGGGTGCAAATCGAAAATTTGCTCCCAAGGGGGCGCCAAATTGAAAGTATGTCCCCGGGCGCCGGGAAGGGTCGCTACGCCTCTGATAATTTGTGTTAGTTTAATAGACAAGTAAAATATCTTTGTATAGATCTATGTATAGATCTCTTTCATAGTCTAGTATTCCTATTTACGTGGGATTTATTCCGACGCAACTTATGCACTCTAATATCATTCCGGGTCTATTTTTGAACCAAAAAGTACTCTTATAAGCCCCACACAATGAATAGCTGTGTAGACGCCAATCAATGAAATGTGGGAACGTACAAGCCTTAGGTGTTGGCTGTACGGTGTAAATGTCACACATTATGTGAGTGGGAGCTGCTAGTTTAGTCTTAGACATAATTTTCTCCTACTTTTACCCGCCCCTTCCACTTCACACAATCCTTGCTTGTATAATCTTCAACAGTTTTCTCTTTAGAAGTTGTTTTTACCCTCCCCCACCACCACACCCTCGCTCTCTTCACAGCCCAAAGCAAAGGATAGCCGTACTCTCTCGAATAAGGTCCGTGACACTTCAACAAAAACACTAATTACATAGGCTCTGATTTACCATTTGATTCTTGCGACTACCGTCACGCATCCTACTTTCTTAAAGGCGGATACATGTTTGATGTTTTCAACAATTGTAATTTATTTGTCTACATGTTTAAAATCAATATTTTAGGCAAATGTAAAGAAATCCCAAATCTCCATTCCCCACATTCAGCCCGTTTATCTTTAGGACGATCAATCTCTATAGCGCTGTTCCATTTGCTATGTGTGTGTATGTGTGTTTACTGTAATAGCGGCTGCTTATATAAGTGGGACATCAAGCTTGTGATTTTTCAATATAAGAAAGTGTAATTCTGGTATTTACTTAACTATAGTTTCTATATATATAATTCTCTTCATGGGGACCAATGTCGGACAAGACGTAGACGCACGCCGTTACTCCCCCGCTCTCCAGGCAAATCGCTACCACCCCCACCAATCTGGTGAGCTTTGGTTCAAGACGAATGTTTACAATTGTAGAGCCGGGGTAGTGACTGCTATTAGGGGCAGATAATTTATTATTAAACGATTTAAAACGAAGAGGGGGGGGGGGGTAACAATTTCTGATTGATATTTATTTTCATTGTCTGTAAACGGCTGGTTTCACTGGGGAGGATGGGGGGGGGGGGTGTTGAATTCACAAACAAATTATGAATTGCTGATAAGCAGAAAATAAAACAACTAGATGGCGGCGTAGATGGGTCAGTTCGTATATATTTAACTAGGCATGCTGCCCAGCTTCGCTTAGGCTTTCGAAAACATTGAGAATTTGAATGCTTAATTAATTCGCCCGAAGGTCGGTCTACGACCTCAAGAGTTATGAAGAGGTTCCTCCGTGGACATTTTTTTTCGATTTATAGCTCATATAAGGTACCGGTCAGTCGAGGTCAGTTTTGACCCCCACATCGTAGACTTTTCGGCCAACCGGCCCCCGTGTTCTGTCGCACCAAGGCAAGATCATGCCAAATTTGAAGCGCCTGCGGCGCCGGGAAGTGCCCTATCGGACACCCGACAATCTAGAATCTAGATCTAGATCTAGATTCCTAAAAGAATTTTTTTTTAAGTTTAGCCCGAGCATAATAAAAAAGAATACATTAACCAAGTTGACTTGCTGTGTCTCGAACCCGCACCACCTGCGTGGTTTAATGTACACTAACATCTCCGCTATTTAGGCACCTTATAAAATACGGAGAATGAAACACGTATTTTAAAATCTTAACTTACACGAATATGCCTATTCTTTCAAATTATTTTTTTATCCCAAATTAGCCAGTTCATAACAAAGATTTTGTATAAAATAAATAAGTCTTGAAATAGTTTAGTCCTAATATAGAAATTTATTTTTGGAATAGATTTTAGAGAAGTTAGAGTCTAAATCTAGATCTTAGCGTCTACGTCTAGATTATAGATCTAGTTATTGCGTAGATTTAGATTTAGTCTAGATCTAGAATCTCTAGATCTAGAATCCAAATAAATAAAATAAATTTTATGAGTTTAGGCCGGAAAAACTGTATTGTATACATTTCATAGTGTACGTAGATCTAAATCAAATTTGAATGAAATAGTTCATTTCTTTTTATTCAAAACACAGCAGATGACGTCATTAGTTAATGTATAAGCAATAGCGACGTCACAGTTTTATGCGTTCTTTTTCACATGTATTAATGCTTTTCCGGTTGCATAAATAATACTGTTTCTCTACATTCGAATACGCCTTTAATTTTTATTTTTCTTCTTTAAGTAAAATTGTGGTTATACATTTAAAACATCTAACATATTATTTTCAACAAAAGTCCGTAAAAAGTTCTCGATATATCGCTGCCGATTCTGACGTGATGTCCGGCGAAAATTTTTTGCGGACAGAGAAAGAGAGAGAGAGAGAGAAGAGCGCACATGGCCTTTTATAAATTAGGATATGCCACAGCAAATTCCTAAAACTTAAGATTCCTACTTTGGATACATCTCAGCATCTATATATGATATTCCTTTTATTGTTATTATAGTAAAGATGCGAGTCAGTTTTTATAAGATAAAATAGCATGGTTATACATCTAGTACACATCTACATTTCGATGTCAATCAGGACATTCGAGTGGGCTCACAGCTTTACTGATAACTTATGTGGGCCCTTTAGGCTAGCCAGCGCTGTCACTGAGATAGAAAATCGATCCTCCCAGGAGGAGAATTATCTTCATCTGTTCTAAAGATAGCCCGCTGTCAAACGTTTGCGGTAGACTTTTGAGCAACAGGGCTTTTACTAAACTCTATATTACAGTACAACCTCTTATCCTCAAAATAGTCTAAATAACTCTCTCTTTCTATCTTTCTCTCTCTCAATATATATATATATATATATATATATATATATATATATATATATATATATATATATATATATATATATATAATTAAAGAGATTGATATTTTGAAATACTTATATATCTGGTGTAAAAACATATGAACTTAATAGTTTAGAATAATTATGTTTGCTTCATCATCAGAATTCTTCATATATTTATATGTGTTCTAGCCATCAGAATTCTTCATTTATTTATATGTGTTCTAGCCATCAGAATTCTTCATTTATTTATATGTGTTCTAGCCATCAGAATTCTTCATTTATTTATATGTGTTCTAGCCATCAGAATTCTTCATTTATTTATATGTGTTCTAGCCATCAGAATTCTTCTTTTATTTATATGTGTTCTTACCACACAAAAAATAAATAAATTGTAAACGACTGTTTGCACACTAGGACTGTTTCGTGTTAGTCATTTTCCGCAACTCTGTCTGCCAAACCCAAAATTTCTATTATTTTTTGTTATTTCCCTTGTGTTTTTCTAACCCTTCATTGTCGGGTTGTGACTTAATATTTATTTTACCATGTAACATCATAACATTCGTTTATTACGTATCACTAACTGAATACCACGGTCGTGTTAACCTTTTATATTAAACTAAATAACTATACATTCTCAATTAGTTCAACAGCGTCATAATTGGTAAACCTTACTAGTAAACATAAATTATCTAATGTCCTTCTTGAAAACCTAAGTACATTCGCGGCCATTCCCTGCTACTTGTACTATTTCTAAATTCAGACATATAAACTTGGAAGGACACATGTCCTAGGTCTTTAAAACTCTTTACATTGTATTGAGCTGAGTGGGTGGTGGAAGGATATACCTACTTAGTTATTTTCTAGCCAGCTCACATTTTACTTAAGTGAAAAATTCACTTGGGATTTGACTGTTTTCGTTACTAAGAAGACCTTTTTTTCAGAAAAATAAATTAAGAATTGAAAAAAAAAAGTATTGTGGGTGGGCTTGGAATCGACTATGCGGCATTCGAACAAAAAACGATCAGCAGACGTTTGTGTACAAAAGACAGCGTTATGTTAAGGTTTAGGCCACAGAAATCTTTGGTAAACAAACTGTTTTTATTAAAACTTCAAGAAACAGGAATAGCAAGTTTCTACATTAGTTCGACGTCTGAATGAACACTAATTTATTTAGAATTTTTTTATCATTCCGTATCTTTAATGAGGTAAGGAGCAAACAGCCTAACGATTGCTGCAAGTGCCATCATAAAACTACAACAATGAAGGCCAGGGTAATGAAAGAAGTTGGACCTTTATCGATTATCCACATACTGGTATAGGAGGGATAGTGGATAGAAATAATTAGAAGTGCTATAGTTATCCACATTATGGTGTAGGTAGGATAGTGGATTGAGATAATTGATAGATA